GGACAATACCTTAACTGCCAACTTTCTGGCGGATAGAAGTGTGTGTGAGGAAACTCTCCGTCAGCGTTCGAAATAATAGCATGGAAGAAAGTGTAAAGTGTCACTACATTGACAGTGAAGAAGCGTGTGACTTCGGAAATGGCGAAACGATTGTATGGTATGGTACCAACAGTGCCAACACTCTACAATTTGGTGAAGACGCACAAAATCCCATCAACGGCGGACACAGTGTCACTTCAACTCAGTGAAATCAAAACGAGACCCATAATCGCATCATGTGGTGGTCCAGCGGATAGGCTGAGTTGGCTCCTAGTTCAGCTCCTTTCACCCCTGTTGCGGTATGTGGGAGCACACATTGTCAACGTCGACGAATTTATTTCAGCACTTCACCGATGTTCAGTTCCGACGACAGCTTTCTATGCGAGTTTCGATGTAGTGTCCTTATATACAAACGTTAACAACGCGGACGCAGTACAAGCTGTTTTATCCCTTCTGGAAGAAAACCGCAGCCAGGTTTCCATGATGGGATTTTCTGCAACGAAATAAAGGACCTCATCGAAGCGGCACTAGAATGCAATATTTTCCGCTTTGACAACAAATTTTACAAACAGAAACGAGGCCTAGCTATGGGTAACCGCATAGCACCAGTGTTAGCAGTAATCTATTTGGACCACATCGAAAAGAGATCATTAACAGGTAGGAATTATTTTCTACAAACGTTACATTATAAAACACAAAGAGGCACCAAAATTTATTTCAAAAGAGTCCCAAAAGTTCACAAAATATTCAAAAAACTCCAAAATTCCAAAAAACACGAAAAGTTTCAAAAAGAACTCCTTTGAAATCTTCTGCTATATTTCGGTGTTTAACACCTTCTTCAGGCCTGAAATACATTGATTTAATCACTGGTAAAACAATTATGATGGTTTCCCGAACCCATATATGTACCTACATGTGTTGCCTCAGCCAAGGATTTAGCTGCCCTTACGGGAGCCGCGCCGTTGGAGTGGAATTAATGACTTACCCTCACCCTCTGCTTAAATAGTAGCGGACGTACTGTGACGGTCATTGCATGTGATATGAAAAATGACGTGACATTGGGCACGTAGTTAATTTAATAGTTGTAGAGCGTCACGTAGTTCGTCCTTACTATTTATTTCGGGTGATAGTTTTCTTATTTCTAATGCCTCCAATAGCCTCCTTTCCACCGGGTTCCCTATGGAGCGGTGTATACCTTAATGGTCAACGAAGGCGGTTCCCCATATGTGTGTTTTTGTGGTGCGGTGCTTGGAGAAGCTGCTGTTTGGATACGAGGCTGGGTTTTGTAACGCCCTTCTGTGTTCATCCAAACGCTTGTAAAGAGGCCTTTTTGTTTCCCCAACGTACTTTTGTCCGCATCCTTGGCATTCATATATGGCTATTGGAGGCATTAGAAATAAGAAAACTATCACCCGAAATAAATAGTAAGGACGAACTACGTGACGCTCTACAACTATTAAATTAACTACGTGCCCAATGTCACGTCATTTTTCAATATCACATGCAATGACCGTCACAGTACGTCCGCTACTATTTAAGCAGAGGGTGAGGGTAAGTCATTTAATTCCACTCCAACGGCGCGGCTCCCGTAAGGGCAGCTTAAATCCTTGGCTGAGGCATACACATGTAGGTACATATATGGGTTCGGGAAACCATCAATATTGTTTTTACCAGTATAATCAATGTATTTCAGGCCTGAAGAAGGTGTTAAACACCGAAATATAGCAGAAGATTTCAAAGGAGTTCTTTTGAAATTTTTCGTGTTTTTTGGAATTTTGGAGTTTTTTGAATATTTTGCGAACTTTTGGGACTCTTTTGAAATAAATTTTGGTGCCTCTTTGTGTTTTATAATGTAACGTTTGTAGAAAATAATCCTACCTGTTAATGATCTCTTTTCGATGTGGTCCAAATGGATTACTGCTAACACGGTGCTATGCGGTTACCCATAGCTAGGCCTCGTTTCTGTTTGTAAACTTTGTCGTCAAAGCGGAAAATATTGCCTTTTTAATGTCGCTGCGATAGGTCCTTTATTTCGTGTCTGCAGAAAATCCCATCATGGAAACCTGTCGCATGTTACCGAATATTTTGGGCTGCGTTTCTTTCATAAGGGATAAAACAGCTTGTACTGCGGCCTCGTTGTTAACGTTTGTATATAAGAACACTACAACGAAACTAGCATAGAAAGCTGTCGTCGTAGATGAACATCAGTAAAGTGCTGAAATAAATTCGTCGACGTTGACAATGTGTGCTCCCACATACCGCAGCAGGGGTGAAAGGAGCTGAACTAATAGCCCACTCAGCCTATCCGCTGGACCACCACATGATGCGATTATGGGTCTCGTTTTGATTTTACTGTGTTGAAGTGACACTGTGTCCGCCGTTGATGGGATTTTGTGCGTCTTCACCAAATGTGTAGAGTGTTGGCACTGTTGGTACCATACCACACAATCGTTTCGCCATTTTCGAAGTAACACGCTTCTTAACTGTCAATGTAATGACACTTTACACTTTCTTCCATGCTATTATTTCGAACGCTGTCGGAGTAGTTCCCTCATACACACTTCTATCCGACA